CATAGCCATTGAATTCGCACTGCTGATGAGCTCTAATAAGAGCAAAACTCGAGTCCCCCCTTTGCTGTGGACTCACCGGAATGGATGCGCCAGGATAGAGGGACAGTTGTTCAAATGAGAGTCATGTGAGTGTCTTTTTCACAAAACTTTGCAACCGCAAACACCTTGAAATTACTTGTTTTCATATTCAACTAGTATAAACCGAAGATTTGGGGGATGAAGAAACAATGCCCTAATTATGTGGATCAGCAGCTAGTCTCAATTTCCATACAGATAGACATCCTTGTTATCGTAGCGATTTTCTACAATTGAGGACACTAGGCTAGTGACATCTCCCTGCCAGCTTTGTCCATTTTGAAGTTTGTGAGGTAGGTGTATTTAGTTTTAGTATTGCTTTCTACTTTACCTGTAAACTAAAATAGTCAGATTCGACCAAAACGTGTTTGTATTTCTATTGTGTCTCACCAGAGTATGCAAACGAGTGATTTCATCTGACAATGTCTCACTGAGTCGATGAAAAGTGAATATTTCTATATTCTCAAGTAAACTTATCTTAAGTTCCTTAAAAGCAATTCTCTCTATTGAAACAAACAGAACAATGGCGGTGTGTTTGGATTTTCACGGGAATCGCAGATTCGCAACGCTTTTAGAAAGTGTACTAGAATTAAATCAGTGAAAGTATCGAGATAGGGTGTGATGAATCCTTGAAAAATCTGTTAGGTGATGCCAAAATATATCTTGATTCAAGCAAGTAGGCAGGTACAGGCTGTAGTTAAATGGCTATGTGTGATGTCAGATTTGAAGATTCTGCAGATGACCGACCTAAGAATAAAATCGTTATTGTCGTAAAAACCCTGCGCTTTGATTCAGTTTGTCCGTTCTTTGTTAATACTTTCATGCGGATCAAGGACTATTGGCTGATCTGTCGTATGGAGAGTAAATTTACACAAACTGGTGCTAAATAGTCTCCTTTAAAGTGGAGAAGTAACACTTTGGAATGTATCATTCTGAATCTGTATAGGTTGGAGTGTCACGGAAAGCCCNGGCCCAAGTGGTTCGCCACAACCAAGATATGTTACTAGGGCGTCGTTCGAGTCGTCAGGCTTTCCGCTCACATCATTGAAGCGCAAAAATATTCGCCTTTTCAGGCGTAAAAATTCGCATGAGTCGAGCTTGCGCCAGTGGAGTATTGGTAACGCGCTTGCTTCGGATGTCAAACCCGGGCATAGCCATTGAATTCGCACTGCTGATGAGTTCTAATAAGAGCGAAACTCGAGTCCCCCTTTTGCTGTGGACTCACCGGAATGGATGCGCCAGGATAGAGGGACAGTTGTTCAAATGAGAATCATGTGAGTGTCTTTTTCACAAAACTTTGCAACCGCAAACACCTTGAAATTACTTGTTTTCATATTCAACTAGTATAAACCGAAGATTTGGGGGATGAAGAAACAATGCCCTAATTATGTGGATCAGCAGCTAGTCTCAATTTCCATACAGATAGACATCCTTGTTATCGTAGCGATTTTCTACAATTGAGGACACTAGGCTAGTGACATCTCCCTGCCAGCTTTGTCCATTTTGAAGTTTGTGAGGTAGGTGTATTTAGTTTTAGTATTGCTTTCTACTTTACCTGTAAACTAAAATAGTCAGATTCGACCAAAACGTGTTTGTATTTCTATTGTGTCTCACCAGAGTATGCAAACGAGTGATTTCATCTGACAATGTCTCACTGAGTCGATGAAAAGTGAATATTTCTATATTCTCAAGTAAACTTATCTTAAGTTCCTTAAAAGCAATTCTCTCTATTGAAACAAACAGAACAATGGCGGTGTGTTTGGATTTTCACGGGAATCGCAGATTCGCAACGCTTTTAGAAAGTGTACTAGAATTAAATCAGTGAAAGTATCGAGATAGGGTGTGATGAATCCTTGAAAAATCTGTTAGGTGATGCCAAAATATATCTTGATTCAAGCAAGTAGGCAGGTACAGGCTGTAGTTAAATGGCTATGTGTGATGTCAGATTTGAAGATTCTGCAGATGACCGACCTAAGAATAAAATCGTTATTGTCGTAAAAACCCTGCGCTTTGATTCAGTTTGTCCGTTCTTTGTTAATACTTTCATGCGGATCAAGGACTATTGGCTGATCTGTCGTATGGAGAGTAAATTTACACAAACTGGTGCTAAATAGTCTCCTTTAAAGTGGAGAAGTAACACTTTGGAATGTATCATTCTGAATCTGTATAGGTTGGAGTGTCACGGAAAGCCCAGTGGACATCAATCTCCTATATAGTTACTCTGTCTTAGCAGGTGATTTTCCATTCGCGACGTCCTTCGTAACTTCCAATGTGGTTAGCTTAGTTCACATACTAACCAGTCATCGCTGTTAGACTCCCATGTCTCTTTCTAAATCTGCGTGTGCTGGAATGTAACTAGTTCATTTGGGTTGTTTCGTTCGGTTGAGATAGACTGTGTGAAGCGGAAATACCTGACGTGATATCAATTTTATCCGCTGGTCTGATCAATACGTATCACTTTTTGTCAACTGCTACCTTCCTTGATGACGCTGTTGTGGCAGTGCGACAGTGAGTCTTCACTCAGTGTGAATAGTGAGCGCCACAGCCACCAAATCACACATGACATATTCCGTACTTGATACCACAATTGACATTTGTATTTAAACAAACCTTACTGTCTCATTTCCCCATTGGTTAATAATTCCATGCCAGTAGGAAATATGTCTGTTCCTACGCATTAGGTTATCACTACGGTACGTCTCATGTTTTCCTAGCTCCAACAAGTGGAATTTCATTCTCGGATATCCAATAGCCAGCTCATTACAATCGATCTGGTCGTCGGACTCGCCAACTCCTGTAGAAAATAGTAACTCTAGTGCTTTTTCTGAGTCTGGTGCAACCACCACACCACTGTTAGAGGCAATCTCTTCTTGGCATCCGTTTTTGATAGGATGGATGTCAACTAGCTGTCCGTTTTGTCTAACACCAGGCAAGAACGACCGTAAACTGTAATTTCCTTGACCTGGCTATACCTTTGGTCTTCAGGATAATTACTCAAGTAAACATAATACCTACAGACTTAGTCAATGGGCGGACCTGTGATTTCTGGTTATTCGGACTAGGGTGCTCGTTTGGGTTACAGCAAGCGCTGTTCTCACGTCGAATGTGTGTACGGTTTCCCAGGTTGTTTTGCCACACTTCTAACAAGTGCGGATAACAGTGAATATCCGTGAGCGTCATTAATAAACTGTTGTGAACATGACAGAATACCGGACGCTGAATCGAACCAACACCCGAACGGTGTTAGTTTGAAATTGTGTAGAATGAAAGTGGATTTATACGGCACCAAGCGGGCACCCAAGCATACATAATAAACGTGAAAATCGAAGGCCATTGGGTGATATTCCATACGCAACCTCTTGTTCAGCCAAATGTGCTACCTCACACGCTGTCCCATATCGGAAAAACGGACTTGGGTTCCGCTCCTCTCTTCCCCTCTTCCGTATAAAAATAAAAAAGTTGTTAACCTTTGAAACAGGTCATGGAAGCGAGAAAAACCTAGTTTTACTCACCTCTGGGATTTCACACCTGGCTGCATCCGCATTTGGAATAATCGTGTTTTTCATATACTGCGTCTGATACATATAACAATACCATAAATTTTGTCCATCAAGTGTTTTAGAAATAAGGCTAAATGCAGATTGTTCGTCGCAGGGAACCTACATAAAAGAAAGAAATGGAACTTGGAATTTACGTTACGAGGCAGTGTTATGCATAACCACGATCATGAGTTGATTACCTGTTGTCCGGGCATCCACTCACATAAGTATACCGGAGACCTAGCTGTTGCGCACACATATCAAGTCTTCCAACCTTAGCTGACAAAAACTGTGGAAGCGACTATTACTTCCTTCATTAGTTTGGTTCAAGATATATGTCTTTAGAGTGGTAATTTATCAGGTGACTTTTGATCGCTTCGCCGAGTCTGGCAACAGATTTACAGATCAATTACCAGTGAATGCACCAGAGCTATCAATATTCCAACACAATAAGAACTTATCCTAGAGTTTGGCCAACCAAAATCCCAATCAAAAGAGGAGTAATACTGGAAATCAATCTGATTTATTTTAGACATTATACTTGTTATTGTGGATTAAGTAATCAGTAGGGATGAGTTTTCCCTGTTGCTGGCTAATGACCAGTACTTTCTAAAGTGCGAGTAGTCCTTCAGGAAGAATCTGTTTCTTATAGAAAAATACACCGTGCTCAAGACAGTCTTTGAAATTTGAGGAAATCTGCCTACAGTGTGTGGTTGTGAAAAAGATGCAACAGTTTATCGGAAAAAAGCAGTCGCATTTTGAATAGGAGTCCTAGATTACACTCATAATAATCTATAACACATCTACAATGGTTCAGTCGATATTTTCTAAGTGAGCAATTCAAGCGTTCCGTTATTCACTCGTCTACACCGTATAACATGCATAACTATTTTGCTGCTACGTTCTGCCTATACGCTTCAAAACTGAATAGCCGTATTGCTTTTTATTCTTTGTACAGAAATATTCTGTCGGATAAGCGAAATTGATAATAATCCTAAACACTAAGTTAGTAATTGAAAGAAACTGTGGCATGAATGATAAATTATAAAAAGACGGCTGAACTTATTTTTCGGTTCACGAGCCTACTTTATTAAAGCCATCACCCAGCACTTCTTGATTGATAGTGTTCCAAACTTGCTCTATTTTTTAAATAAGCTTAAGTATGCATTAGGTTCTGACTGTACATGTACCCAGATATTTTGTCGAAGACTGACCGGAATTCATCCACTACTAGCCCATCACACTCTGGCAAATAGGCGAGTCTTGTTTCCCGCAGTACATGCATCCTTTTTGGGGAAGGAAGTGGAGTAGCAGACTTGAGGACGTTACATCCGTGAACCCAAAGTAGTAACCGGTTGATATCGAACGACAATGCACTAAATTTCGGTAAGTCTGTCTATTCTGATAGAGGTCCAAAGCTTATTTCCGGAAATTTTATGCTACTGATACCTTGGGGTTGATCTCGTATTTGCATCATTCCAAGTAGGTTGAATCTGCCATTTAATTGCTAACGAAAGATATTCTCTCCAGAAGCAGAAAACCCTAAAATCGATAGTGATTAGGATAGTGCCAGTCTTTTCAGCCATTCAACAAGTGCGCGAAATGATAAATATTTCAGAAAAAGTGTGCCACTGAATAATGTGATTCTATTTACAGGGATTTCATGTTTTCTTGTCTCTTCCTCACCATTGACGCTGTCTTCATGCTTAGAAGTGTTTCGAAAAATTTGCCGCAAATGAACTCTTTTTACTTGTGGTGTACAAACGTCCCGATAGCCGTTACTATTCGCCGGAGATCTTGGTTACTTACTTTCAAACCCGAAAATATGTAAAAGAATTTTAAATTAATTTCACTGATGGTTTAAAGTAACCAAACCCGCAAGGTTTTGACCAAAGTGAGGTGTTGAACTATGGGCCATCTAACATAAGGTGGGCTAATTAAGTCGTCGGATCGGCTGTGCCATACGGAACATGTGCCTACCAAGCACAGTTTTGCAACATTTTAGTGCAGTTTCGAATCTAAGACATGTTCTCGAAATCCACTGACTTGGTCAGGAGACAAGAGCATCGGTGAAAAGTTTAATTTTTATCCACTATTTTGTTGTTCATCACAGTTTTATTATCCTGTGAATAGCCTGGAAATCTTTGAAAATTTACTGTCCCAAAAATAATTGTTATTGATCGTAAAATATATGAAAAAAATCACTCTCGAAATGGCAAAATAACTACCAAGTAAAGAGCTTATCGAAGCCATTCACTAATTTCCGGGAGCTGATTTTTCTACAATGGGTTCATAGATATTAAGTTGCCACTCCCGAATTATATCATGCCCCAAAGATAGGAACATTCCAGAAAAGCTGAGAAATGTGCAGAAGTAAATATTTAATTTTTTGCTTGTCATCAAGATTTCACTGGTCGAAATGCAATTCTGACTTGAGATAGCAGGTCTCTCAGGGATAAAGGTGGCGAACAGGATGTAAAGTTTCCCAAGCTGAGGGTTGCCTTCAAGGAGCGGCACCGCCGAAGAGCGCTTGCTTGTAATTGGTGACTTGATAAGCTCACCCTGGAAATTAAGACCACTCAAAGTATAGTCATTTGGAACGACATCTTAACATCCACAGAATCCTTACTCTGGCACAAGTTGGAGCTTTATGAAAAGGCCCATGTCAACAAAAGACGTGAAATACTAAGCTTCATCGCCCGAACACGTCTGCGCTCGTCTATAAAGGTGTTAACGTTTTATTGGCTCATAGCCACTGAATGTGAAGGGCTTTCCAACACTGCTTGTCACTAGATGGTTGCTTAGCCTTAGAAGAGTAAGGTTTTTTCATCATTTTGGCTCCACTAAAGTATGTACTAGATTAGCGTGAAATTATTCAACAAGTTAACTACAACCTGAATTAGCAGTACTGTAAGCAGTCTCAGGTCCTGACAGATACATTTAGCACACCATACCGGAAGAGACCATTTTGTTGAGCTCAACCTTTTTGGCCATGCACAAATCAAGCATCACGACCCGTTGACATATGAACACCATCTGGAAAGAAATGACCTCTGGTTTTTTGTCAGAAGCGCTTGATGGAACATAGCATTAAAGACGGTAGTCGTTTATCCCAACTGCGAAAACTTTGGTATACCGGGAATTTCTTCGAGTGAAATCGATTCCCTCAGATCTGAAAATCTCATCAGNCCATTCCTTCTTATCTGCCAATTTAGCAAAAAATCTAAATACGGAAATCACCCTTTCAGTCGGAGAATTTTTTTCAACCGGCTTCCGTGAAATGAGGACACACCACAGCTAATTGGCTATCCCGGATACCCGCTACGTTCGCTGCTGAGCACTACAAAAGACGGAGCTTCACAAGCACTACAGTAGTATCAGGCATTCATCTGATTTTAAGTTGGGTTTGTGAACCATGACGGTAATACTAGGTAGTACTTGAATGAATGAGGATCAATCGAGGACTGGCTGTTTACTTACCTCAGGGTTTCCCGAACATAACGACGGAGCGGATTTTGATGGCAGACGGAAGCCGGCCAAATGCCTCAGATTGTCGCTGTTTAGGCGCAGTAAGATGTTTCTGCAAATCGACAAAAAATATTACCAAGGAACCGCTGAGAGGGTAGTCAAAGATTCTTTATGAATTTATGTGAACAAACTGCGAGCTCGGTGTCTCCAAAACGTCGGCGCACTGAACTGAGATATGACACGTTCAGTTGAGCAGTATTTTGGTTTCTACAAACAAGCATTCCATTCTCACGTTAAGCAATTAAGCCTATCTGTGTGCTCAGTTGACACGGAAGAAAGATTTCGATGAACGAATCGGTTTTCAACTTACCCGTTAATTAGATGTGTGCTGAAGAGTTTCGTTTGGGCCGACATTTAAGGAATCGATACATCCTTCCAAATAACGCAGCTCCTAACAGCGACGAACTCCCCTATAGTGCTAACCATTCATTTAGCTCTACCGTTTAGCAAGACACTGTTTCATTTGATTCATGTGTGCAAAGCTGCAGCTGAGACCACACCACGTTCACATTTGTTCACGTGAGAAAAGTTCACAGCAGCCAAACATAAAAACCTACGGTGGGCCCGAAAGATTGGTTTTAATATCTCAGTGGTTGGTATGCTGTGATGCATGGAGACACACTAGTAATACTTGCGATGCAAATATGGGTTAGCCCTTACTCCGTCATTTGACATACGACAGGAGGTGACTAGGTCGACATCCGCATGTGATATGTGTAAGAAGGTTGACGGGGTTATCAGAACGCGGTTCCATTAGTACTTCAAGCTATCAATAACCAAAGTAACGAGTGGAGATTTTGTGGTTTTGATACAAAGATGAATGATCTTCTGACTGACTCTATGTAAAAGTAGAAGAATCCAGTAGTACGTGCGGCGGAGTGCAGAAGTAGACGCCACTCTCAGGATTCTGCATATGCAGAATAACGATGGTGCTGCACTTTCCATCATGATCAGTGTTGTCCGAAATTCTCTGCACAGTGTGTTTCCTGTAACGTTTTCGCATAAAAATTGTAACGTTAAAAACATCCTCTGGTAACCTAGAGTCCTACTTCGCTGCACTTTCCATCATGATCAGTGTTGTCTGAAATTCTCTGCACAGTTTGTTTCCTGTAACGTTTTCGCGCAACAATTGTAACGTGAAAAACATCCGCTGGTAACCTAGAGTCCTGCTTCTACGATTTTATGCATTTGGTGAATTTTAGTGAATTAAGTGAGTTTCAATAGAATGTGGAATATGAATTACCCAGAAGGGCAAATTTCAGTTTTCTCATGTTCAGCGAAATCGAGTAAAAATCAAGAGCTCATTCTAACACATTCTAAACATGGTTTTGTATGCCATCTTGTACCCTCAGACTCCAGTTCATGCCATACGGCTTCTTCTTGCTCGTGCAGCATGTATACCGGGCTACCGGTTAACTAACGGAGATTGAGATCCATCATGCAGCAACTGGTGTAAATTTTTGAAAATCAGCAGTCGGTGTGTGGGGTGTAGCAGTATTGTGCAGGAACAGAAACGAAAAACATCCGCTGGTAACCTAGAGTCCTGCTTCTACGATTTTATGCATTTGGTGAATTTTAGTGAATTAAGTGAGTTTCAATAGAATGTGGAATATGAATTACCCAGAAGGGCAAATTTCAGTTTTCTCATGTTCAGCGAAATCGAGTAAAAATCAAGAGCTCATTCTAACACATTCTAAACATGGTTTTGTATGCCATCTTGTACCCTCAGACTCCAGTTCATGCCATACGGCTTCTTCTTGTTCGTGCAGCATTTATACCGGGCTACCGAATAGCTAACGCAAATTGAGATCCATCGTGCAGCAACTGGTGTAAATTTTTAAAAATCAGCAGTCGGTGTGTGGGGTGTAGCAGTATTGTGCAGTGAACAGAAACTCTGCTATCCCGAGCCCCACAGCAGTTGTCTCTAAAATGATGCATACGTTCCCAACATCAAGGGTCGGTTAGAGTCAGTAGTACGCATTGCCTTTTGGACGGTCAGAAAATCAACCGATCTCCGCGGTTATTAAACTTATTGTCGGCTTATTATGAATCGAGATGGCTAATCCTTGATGTAGCTGTTGAAATAAAGTTCTGAATGCAAGCGCTATTCATCGTCAGCACTGAGGATCAAGTGTAGACTAATTTTTTCGCAAACCGTGACTAGCGGACACAACAGAAATAGACCAGCATTTGCGAAAGAAAGGAATTATCTGGTCAAAAATAAATATTCGCGAGGTATTCTGCGGGAGAGCGACTAATCTCTAGTTAATAACACTCATCGTCCAGCATGCGAAGGCCAAGAACAAGGGCCACTCTATGTCCAAAGAGGCGATATGCCCACTTATTCTAATAGGTATGATTATCTGGATCGGATTTCGCGCTCCCGATTGGATTTATAAGCCTGTGGTTTAATTACAATGAACAACTGACTGCACCTTATCCAAATGTATGTTGAAATGGGCACTTACACAGTGGAAGAAGTATATTACAGTTTACTTCTTCCAGAGTTCCTTCGCCAGTGGCCTAGTACCAGTTTTCAGCCAACAATAAGTAGAATTTTGTCACAGTCACTCAAATTAAGGCGTCTCACCATACAGTAAGCTAAATCTTAAAAATGTTTCGCCCTCTTAGATGATCATTGTGATGTCATGTTATGAAAGTTTCTACCAGGTAAGTGCACAATGTTGCCGGTAAACATACAAACAAGTTTTTTTCGGTTGTACCTGGGCGAAGAATATATGTAAGCTTTTGTGTCGGTGCTAACAATCACGCATATGACAACAGATCAACCACAAAATTCGAATTAAGAAGGCTTGGCTTCTGCGCTCCAGCGCAGAGCTTCAGTGCTCGTAATATAAAATTTCTCACATGTTTGACTGGGTATTGGGCTTTTTCCAGACAGCGTTCTTGCAAGCCAACCGCTCCCTAAAGCCCTTGGTTGAACACACATATTTTTCAACAGAATGCACCCGAGTGGAGCAAACAATTAGTGGGTGTTTAGTGTTGCCTGCTATTCTTATTTTATAGTGATAACTCTCTAAGATGACCGGTGGTTTTTTCACTATGCTTCCAAATGGCATCTATTTAAGAAGTTATCGACAAATTGTATCACTTTATCCAGAACAATCAAGGTGCAATATCTCTACCATCACGTAAGTTTTGCTCATTACTGCCGATGCGCACAAAAAATACTCAGTTCATTTTGAAGAGGTGCATCTATCAGCAACGGGGAAAAATGACAATGGTCTCAAATTCCGACCCGATGCCAACTAGTTCGTGGAGGACGAAAACAGGTACCAATAGAATAGCACTTATAGAAACAAATGAGCTGAAATGGTTAAAAACCGTTGTAATAGTATTTTCTAACGGCAGTAGGTTGTAGAGATATGCATGGAATTTTAGGATCTTTTACGGCTTTTCTGCTTTGAAATCACTCTGATCTGAAAGTTAAGAAACAACCTGGTAAGGCCTTTGAGTTGAAGTAGAACGCATGAAAGCGTGAATGATGTCTCATGGTTACACACTTCTTTTTCATAAGTCACTGTTGAAACACGATTTTCATGGAATAAGCTACATGCTGTTTATGAAAGCTTTCCCTAAAAGTGTATAAGTCGGTACACTACACTTCTCCAATGAATAGGAAACTATCCATAGAATTTGACATAATAACTACAGGGGATGACTTCAGTCACTGTCCAGTCGACAAACAATCTTTAAAACTAACATTTCCTATCTTTCTGTATTTTTATTCCACTTGATATTCTCAATCCAATTGCATTCAGGAGTATCGCGTCAGCTCACCAACGGTATACTTTGAAACAGCCCATGCACAGTGCTACTTGACCGATTTCCAGGTCAGTCAGAGACCCGGAGATCATTTGTAGAGCCTTGCACATTGCTTCACAGTTTAAAAATTACTGCCAATACCCACGCTGGAAGTGACGGCGATGTGGTTAAGTAACCTGAAGCTGTGAACTAGAATGTTTCTGCTGTCCTTCGTATTCCTACTGCTTCATAGGTCATCACTGTCCTTCTGCTGCAGTGAAAACTGAGTGGCCATCTAAAGTGGAAACATTGTAGAGTAAATTCAGCCTGTAGCCTGAAACTGGGACATGAAACGTATGGCTATAAAAGCCACTTAGATTTTCGGCTTACTCCTTTATCGAATCAAGAACTTTATCACAAAAACAAAAATAAATAGAATAAACCTAGTGTGATTTCCCCTCGCAAGATTGCTTAAAGGCAAGTTCTAGAATTCTGGCATAAAGATTTGTTGTCAAGCGTGGAGCTATGGTCTTTACGAAGGATTTCCATCGAAGAAGGCAGGTTACATTGCGTAGCTTCAAGCCAAAGGGCTACCGTTTTTAGCTTGCTTTTACTGCGGAGCATCAGCTTAGATGTATCTGTTTCCGGTGTGAACTCAGGCAGAAGCTAAAGACAACACGATAAGCATCTGAACAAAGTCGTTTTGTGATTTCTGCACCAAATTAATTTTCTACGCAATAGAGACTTACGGTTATGTAAAAGAAAGACCCAAGACCACTCAGGTGTTACACCGGTGTTGAAAATCATCAACAGTGCACAATTTATTGGTAACCCAGTGCGACTTTATCAGGAAGCCGATCAGCCAATAGCGGTCGAATGTTTAAATCTTTGAATATTGGCCGAAGTCCTCTGAAATCCTCTGGGTTCACACAGATAATAATTCCTACGACGATGAAATATCTCTACAGTACTTCTCGGCTTTTAAGCCTAAATCGATGCAAGTAAAAGGACGAACTCTCTACTGTGTCTGATTAAAACTTGGAGCAAGTCTTCTTGCCAGCTTGGTGAAACTCAAGGTCAGAGCAGGATCCAAACAACCGAGGCTGACTAGAAGAACCTTACTTGGCAAGATTAGGTACGTGAAATACGCATTTTGGTGGTTCTCAGTCATCGATTAGTAATTCATCTGTGAAGTGGATGGGAAACTCCTGACTATGATGATGCACACAGTAATGCGTCAGACAAAACAAATGCCAGGAGCACCTGCTCCTCTATCGGTCACGGAAA